TTTGACAAAGTTCACCTCTTCAGCTCTTCTGATCCTTTGATAAACCTAAAACATTAAAAAACACAATTAGAGAACGGTATGCGTAAAAAATTATCGTAGTACAATGTTTACGCATGCACATACATGACATGTTTAAAGATTATGAATTCAACTAGTTTTTAAAATGTTTTAATCATATTTTGTTTTTTCTTATTCAGCTTAATTACCTTCATATTTTCCAGGGTAACACTGAAAATTAAATAAAAACAATTTATTTATTGTTGTTTCCTTCTTTTTCCATTTTCCAAGTACATAATATAACCTAAACTTCCACATCTGATTTCCGTGCAATCAAGTGTCTTCAAAAAAACAAGCCATACCTAAACTTCCACATTGAGGATTGTTAGTGTCGAGGTTGGTATTGCATAAAGTTTGATCCCTAGCTTCTGCTAGTTTTTCCTCTTGATCACCAACCTTTGCAGAAATATAAAAAAAATCCACGAAACATCAATGTTTGATGCTATGAAGTGGGAAAACTATAACAAAAGTGTATACAATGACACAGATGCGCATGATGAATTTAAGAATAGTAAGCAAAATGTCATCAGGTATACTTTATGTACTTCCCAGAATTTCTTCCACTCTCAAGATGACTGCCAAATCTCCCCATGAAGGACCTATATGCAGGAATGGCTTTCTCAAAATAGAAATCTGAAGCTCTTCACGGAGTTGTTCATCTAGAACCTTCTAAGAAGTTTGGATCCTGTAGAGTTCTTCAAAGCAGACATTGAAGTTCTTGAACCTTTCTGAAGAGTGATTTTTGAGGCATTATTTGAGCTTCCGTCAATACCTTTATCCTTGAAACAAGACAACTCTTTGCTCCAAGATGCCCTTAGATATCCAGTAGCAAACTGTCTAACCCGTCCACGACGCTTACATATTCACATATCACCCAAATGCTTCCGAAGATCAGAATCTTTAACTTTCTGGACTATGTACAGTAAATTGTTCATCAAGAATATATACTACATCCCGCTATCCTCATACATTCTAGACTTCTCTTCAAGATTAGCTTCTAAAGATTTAACATTATGAAATTAATCCTTCCATTTTTTGGTTGGGTTTTGTTTTTCCTTTGATTTTGTTAGAGTTTATCCGTCAAGTTCATGAGTTCTTTTCAACAAGGCATGGTCTGTTTACACATTTTAACATAAATCAAATACAAGTACACAATTTACCTGTTTAGAGAAGGATGTCCCATCATCATCCATATTGTGACTAGCAACTTTTAAAGCAATTACATTACCATCAGTTTCAAAAACCATCCTGCCAACCAAACAAAGATAGAAAGATGCAAATCAAATAAAGCTACATTAAGACGAGTTAATATCCTCCAAAGAGAGGGAAATTCATGAAACATTGAAACCCAAGCACTATGTGCAGATAAAATGCCAGCTCACCCTCCATCAACAATCTCATTAAGGCACAAAAATATCAAATCTAGGTTTTCAAGCGCCTCCCTGTGGTCAACATTGTTCCTGAAACGGTCAAATGTGTGTGTGTGTAACTATCCGAGGACTTTTGGTCAAGAATACCTAAGAAGAACTGTCACTGTCTTGTAAAATCCTTGCAGAACAATATCTAAAACCAGCTCTTTTTCGTCATCAGCTCCAGTTACAAAGAAGTGTTATGTCCGCTGGCAGATTTAGTGAACAATAGTAATTCGATGGATTAGTAGTATCTATGGATACATAAAATGAGGATATATTTATGTTCTCCCAGACACTACTCTAAGCACAATTTTAATGCATGTAAACAAATAAGGAAAGAATAATTTTCAAGTGATTTTTAACAAGCAAGTCCCCTGGGCTCCTGAAATGACTCTCTACTTATATTTAGGAGTTTAGGTATATTAAATAATAATACCCTAAAGTTGAAGAGCTTAAACTTTTTAGGACATTCATATTACACATCCCCAGTCCTCATAATTCATAAATAATTTATTATTTTAAAGAGCTTATAATTCATTGTTAAAGAACAACCAAACAAACAAACAAACAAACAAACTTACATATTTCCTGTTTTCTTTTTATTTACCTTCATTGCAAGTATTTGTCTTTTGATTTTTTGTAAAGACAGACTTCTTAAAGGAAAGCTTAGCACTGTCCCTAGGCAATAATCCAAAAGAAGTAGTAATACTCAACAGAAACACGCTTTCCTTCCGAATCCAAAAGAAGTATAATTTTTATGGCAGGGCAATAATCTTATAGCAAGATCCTCATCAGTCTATCATCATCAACAACAACATTTAAGGAGCCATCATTGTAAGAAAAGCCAAAGAAAAGAAAAGAGAGACTCTTCTCCTATGTTGTTGAATGAAGAATAATGAATCAGTGAAACACAAATGCAACAGATCATATCAAGAACATTTGCACTTAATAATCTATTATATACTGTAAATACATGAAATCTATTGAAACATCTTGTAGATAAATTTAATCATTTTCAGAAATTTCGATTAAAATAACAAAATAGAAATATATAAAGTAAGATGATTAAGCTATATGGAACCCATCAACAGAAAATCTCAGCATTTGAATCATTACATGAATTCATATTTACAAGAATCTTGAATAACATCTACACACCAAGAATTAATCAACATTTCATCACAGTAACTTAGGTCCAGCAAGAACAGTCTTACAAAATTAACTTTATAGAATCTATGAAACATATTCTAGCCTTCATCTCCAGCAGCGGGAATCAGATGCAGGGGGGAAAATGTGTTAGAAAAATCATTAAATTCAGCAGAGCTTTTCTAAATTTAAAGTTACTTACTTTTAATTAACCACTCAAATTCATTACACGCGCTAGATGTAAGTATCAATTCGTATAAATGAAATTTCATGTTCGAATTATGATAATGTTTGTTTAGTAAGTAATAATCGGTAACACTTTTTAGTAAGAAGTTAAAGATAAAAGAGACAAATGACTTATCTACAAAGAGAGATGAGAATAATTATACGAAGGCGGCTGACGGAAGCCAACAGCGGCTGACGGAAGCCATTGGCGGCTGCGGCAAGCAAACGTCGGGCGGCTGCGGGAAGCAAATGTCGGCAGCTGTCAGAAGCTAACGTCGCGGCTGCCGGAATCTAGCTACGGTCGCGTCTTTGGCTGCCTAGATGGGAGTCATCGTAATCAGGCGGGGGATTGGATGGAAGCTACTCGGTAGGGGAAGGTTTTTTTTGACCTGTGAGTTGCTAATTCTGCTGGCTAAGGAAAGGAAGCCAGCTTATAAATTGTTGGTATTTGCTGCGTTAGAACATGACCGTAGCGATTAATATGTCATGCAGTGACATTTGTTGCGCATCTCAAAGGACCGAAGCAAATATTTAAAAAACGTATAACTTCTTGTTGCGGCTCATCGGAAACCGCTGCAGATAGCATTAGGAAATAGACTTATTGCTGCGGCTCACCTATAACTGCAGCAAATAAGTTGAAATTTTAGACTTTTTGCTGCGTATTACCAATAACCGCAACAAATAGGTAGCAGCAATTATGAGAAATTCTAGTAGTGAATGGTCCGGATTTCACCCAAGTATTGATCCATGGTTTGATTGTGCTTCTTCTTGGCATGGGTTACCATTTGTTTTCATTCCATTGATCTGGCCAGACTGGCTGCCATAATCCGGGATTCTAACCTCTGCCAAATGGCATTCGAATTTTTCAAAGAATGAACCTCCATCAAAATATCCCTACACAATGTAGCAAACAACCACGAACGACCCGTCTGATCTAATTTCAGCCAATGGTAGTACTCTGGATTTATACTCTGGGTCTGATATAAATCATATGAATAGAGTGGCGGAGCTGGAAGAGAGCCATCAAGAATGCCCAAGAGTCCGTTTGAGACCAAAAAGGACTCAAATTGAGTACGCCATGGTAAATAATCTTCTACCTCAACAATTTAATTGTGACGACAGTAGTGATAGGAGAAGCACCAAAACCCATACCTTGAGCAAGAGTAGCAAACGACGTAGGCAACATCACATTAGAGGATCAATTGCCGACTGGACCGGCAAGTGGAGGCGGCATGAGCAGTCTCAGATTGCCCGAGAGAGTTGCGCCTACGAATCTTTGGCTGTCGGTGATGCTGGATTCGGCGACGACCCGGTCGTGGGGCTGCAACGGCTTGGGCGTTGGAACCGTCGGAGTCCATGTAAAAATAGGAGGCATCCATGTGGCGGAACAACCGGACCAAGGGATCGAGGAGAATGACTGCTCGTCGGTGAAGGACAGTGCCACGGTGTTGGTCGAAAACTCCATCGAAGACACTTGCTTTGTATCCATCGCGCTCAGAATAAGAGAATCCGTCACCGGCGTTAAAACGGCGGCGGCGACGACAGTAGTGGTAGGGGAGGCCGTCGATCCAAATTTTTTTATAACTGGCTAAAACCTAGAGCTCTCGATACCATATGAGAATTAATGGGAGACTTACCAATGTGAGCACTAGATTTCATATATATATATATATATATATATATATATATAATAAGTGTTCTGAGTACATTAGGAAACCTAATAAATTTGAAAACATAATTAAAGTATTAATTACACTATTACCAGGCGGCGGCATCCACGCGGCGAAGCAGAGAACAGGGCAACCGTCGAAGCGGCGACGATACACACATACCACATAAATCTTTTGGCTGCTCCGAGAAAGAAGATGAGAGAGAATTAATTGGATGAGATTGAGAAGAACATGACCCGACTAAAAGAAAGAGATAGACAAAAAAAGTAACTACGTAGATAGCCACATGTATATTTACTGGCTATTATTATTTACCTGATAAAAAGTTAGTTCGAACTTTTTCAGAAATTGAAGTACTTAATTGAATAATAATTATTTAATAAGAGGACTTAATTGACTTTTTCAGTGATATCCCTAATAAAGGTCACGTGAGAGCGTGGTGTCTCATCAGCCGCCAAGCGAGTGTAAATAAACCATTCTAATTTCCCATCATCACAGTGATGCACCACGACTCGGATAAATGCCTATATAAATCCCCTATTTGAGTATTTTCCCCAAACACACTTCGAGGAAAGGTGAAGCGTCAAAAGCCAGAGGACCTAGGGTTACTTGCTAGGGCTTCCCGGGAACTTCCGTTTCCTGTTCTCTCTACGTGCGTATGCGCATTGCACATGGATTAATGGACATTTATTTGTATCGATTGTCGCTTGCTTCAAAATCGTATAAACATTAAGGTTTTATACTTGTTTTTTCAATACTCGATAGCTGTAGACATTGATAATAAATCGAATTCGGCGATTGGATATAGATTTGGTTTTTGCACGTCCAATCAATCGAAACGAATAAGTTGAATTTGTAAAAAATGCGAAGAATGCTGAATCCAAAAAGGGTTACTTGGGCTTCAGATGTAAACCTTTGTCAGGTAAATCTTTTAAGAATTCCATTTTCTAGCTCCATTAGATAATTTTCTGTCTGCCCCTGTGAATTACTATAACATATTAAGAATTTTATGTGTCGAATTGTAGTGGGTGAAGGAGGTTGTTGTCACCACGACATTTGAATTCATGGATTTTACCTTTTTTAAATCCTTTTCTTTTCTGTGAAAGAGGTTGTTTTTGCTTTTTCAATTGGAAAAATCGATGCTAATGATAATAATTATTGTAACCTGAACTTGACAGCAGCACTTGCCTAATTGAACTTATGAACTTTAAGGATCGTTCTACTCCTAAAATAGCTGTGCAAAGTGAACAATTTTATGGTAGATTTTAGTGATTGACTGTACTGCAGACTAATGTCAATGAAGAGAACTTGGCTTTTATTTATTTCCAACTTTCTAATATCCTTAAAAACAACATACAGATGTGCATCATATATAATACTCGGTATAATATACTACCTCTGTCCCTTGGCCGGTGGACTCTGCCAAGTGCAAAGTAGTTGGGAAATAAGAAAAGTAAAAACCATGTAGTTGAAATTTGTGCAGAGGAGAGAGAAATGTGCAGAACCACAAATTAGTTGCTTTATTAGGAAAGTGTCAAAGTTTTTTGGGACAACCAATAAGGGAAAGTTGGCAAAGTCCAATGGGACGGAGGGAGTATAATGTAAGACACTTTAAAGAAATTAATATCTGCTTAATCTTTATAACAATATTTTGTAGAACTGATGATTTATTTTCAAAAGGTCTAATTACATTCATAAAAGGGTAATAACAAAGCTAAAATACTTCTATGATCCTGGAAACTATGGAATGTGATAATTTCAAGATCAATGCTTTGTGAACCATGGGATTAGTTATGTTTCCTGATTATTTCCAAAATGGCTGCTTAATGTGATGGAAGTGAATACAAGCATAGAGAAACAATTATCAGATAACTTGAATATATTTGTCAAGTGAATAAAACAATGTAGCATTCAAATCAAGTATTAGTAGTAGCATGAATTTGCCTATGGTGTATGCTCCTAATGGCCAGATATTTTATTGATCATGCAACATCATGAATCACTCTTGTGAATGTTTTTTGATGATTGACATTATGAAGTACAATGAAACCCATCAATGTGTTGTTTCATAAAGGTTTACTAAAAAGTGAGACAGCAGTTAATAAGTATGGAGTATGTTATTCTTATGTTGGCAGTATTTGTTTATGCATAAGTTAAATTACACATGGAAAACTGTAATGTGGAGTAGTTTGTGGTTATGAACCGATAGATTTTTGAGTGCTTAACCAAAATAATGAAAATTCTATCTTGACTCTGGGAACACCATTTTTAATTTAATGTGGCAAGGAACTTTAATTTTATTTAACTCCTTGTAGTAGTGGCTTATAACATGAAATAATGGTTGTTTACATATATGGGTATCAGGTGTTTGTAATTACGTAGTATAACATTTCAATCAAATTGTGTTTTGTTTGTTGAATAGTAGTTTATGTTTTGGGTAGATCTATAATGTTTGTTTGATGTTTCTGCCATTGTGATGTTCATGATTGTGTATCTTGCTTGAGAATTGGCAGAATCTATTGACCCTTCTTCTTTTGATGAGATCTATTTTACGTAATTTTAAAATGTCTTTGTGTGAAAATTTGCATATTATTCACATGCTGAAACCTAGGTTTCGAGATTGACTTTGCATATGTCTCTAGCAGTTTTAAGGAATTTAATCTAGTTAATCCCATATGACAGTAGGAAGAGGCTTGGAAGACTATTTGAAACCTGTTTTTTAACTCTTGTTAAGAAAGTTTATGTATTATAAATGATGTAGAAATTGTGTCAATGTTCATAACCTGGTTTTCCTCGTTAAGGCTTTCGTTTGCATTTACTTGCTAAAGAATTGGTACAATTGTCACAATATGCTACAAAAATGTAAGGAAATGAAGGTTTTTGGAAAAATTAAAAAGAGAACAAGTGAAATTGTTACGGAGGTTTCCATCTTAATTAACGTGTATTCGTTCTTCCGTTACCATTACTAATGAAAATGCCATAAGCTGCCAACTAAAATGCCAAAATTATCATTTGTTTGGAATCAAATCCCCATTATTTGGGCCGATCAATCTTACCTTTTTGCCCCTCAATCTGAGCCATGCTTGACCCATTATCCCAGTTGCATTTATCGAACTGCATGCTAAAGAAACATTATGCTTCCCCTGTATTGTTTTTCATAAAACCCATTATGGTGATATTGAACTGCATGCTTTAGTCTTCATAAGCTATTTGTGCTGCTGCTTTGATGAAATTGACCTTTTCATGTTAGTTGATGCTTTTCGTTGTGGCTCTTTTACCAATTTGGACTAGTTATGGTGTTGTAGATTCAGGCATTTATTTTATATTTACAAATTGCTTATTTATAATTTATATTGATGTTTTTTTGGAGTTAAAAGTTTTATAAAAGCTAAACTTTAACATTTAATTACAAACCCTATTGTTTTTAAATAGGTAAGGCTATTCTTATCTGAAGAGTCTCCTTTACAAGTTGGATTAAGTTCTCAAGATCACCTCCAGGCAAAGCCATCTCTTGAAGGTGGAATCACAAATGATGATAATTTGCCTCCAGGTTTCGAGGCAGTCCTGGGTTCTACCCTTTGTAAAACTAAGTTAGATCAAATACCTCTCATCAAATGGGAGCGTCCTCCCAGTGTAAGTTCAATTTTAAAAACTCACAATTACATTATCAGTACCCCCAACTTAGTCCCATCTAGTTGGAGTGACATGAATCTATACTGTCAATTTTCTACAATTAGTTCTCTCTACAAGTCATGTAAAAAGTATAGCATAAAAGTTTTGAGCCGAGTGCCCTTCTTACAATGACTTAAGAGATCACTTTTTTTTATCATCATGAAGTATTTCACTCGCATGGAAAATATCATGGGACAGCAATGTTAGAAGTATTTGTTATTAGTCATTCCATAACTGAGGTTAGTATTGTAAAACCAACATGCAACTCTTGGAACATGATACTTAATCCCAATAGTTCCAAGAAAAGATTAGAATGTTAGTGCTTATGCTGGAGAGTATTGCTTATTGGCATTTTAGTGATATTTCGAAAACACATTTACTGAATAACTTAAATAGTAGTTTGTTTTAAAGAATATACACCCGTTCTGTTTTATTTAATTATTTACGTTTTTCCCATCCATATCCTTTTGTGAATGCAAGCTGCTGCCTTTATGCCTGTCAGCACACCATTATATGGTGGGGTAGGTTATGAAAATAGTTATTTATCGAGTTTTACAGTATCCCTCGTGTGGGTTGACATGTTGAATTTTTAATGAAAACCACTCTTTGATTTGTTTCCCCCAAATTTGCCTATATGTTGTATGGTTATGTGGGCACATATCCTCAATCATTCTAACTTTTCTGACTCCCTCGTCCCAAAATATAAGCACTACTTGTGTTTGTTATAACATTCTTCGGAACAGACTGAGTATGATTTTTTTCCAGTAAAATGGTACCCATCTTGTCCAATCATTTCAGCAAGTTAAAAGCACCTAGAGTAAATGGGAAAAGCTGTGAATGTTAATGTGTTTAACTTACGAGAAAGTTAGTCAATTTTTTAGATGGATTAAACATTTTCTTTGGGGAACTGTGCTCCACGGTTTTTTAGAAAAAAAGAAACTTTGTTGCCTTTTACAATGGATTTGTGGTTCAGACAGGTTGAATGGTTTTGTGGGCAGTTTTAACTCTTAAGAGTCTTGGAATTAATATGCATGAAATCTTCTTGTGTTGTAGTAATGCGAGCTACCTTTTAAACTCTAATATTGATTGTTCTTAACAATGATGTTATACATTGATAAATGAATTGTAGTTTGTTCTTTTTTAAAGTTTTGAAGTATAATATCTGTAAGAACAACAGATTAAATGTATATGATAAAACACCAGATAAATTATAAAATCAACACAAAAGATTACTTAATTAGAATCATGAGAGCAACATTTTATTTGGTGTTTAAAATATGATATGGACAACTTTGCAATTTCTAACTCTCTTAAGGAACTCTAGAATTCATATTATTCTGATTTTGACAGTTCATATTGGATGCCAGCTGGCAAGTTGTTGCTGGTGAGGAGAGCCAAGAGAGGGAAGCTCAACAGCAACGAGAGATGAGAGTGCTTGAAGCAATATATCCTCGCCCATCTTCTATTCCCCTCAAGTATGATTCTTCTCTCACAAGTTCCATCCTTTACCTCCGTTTTTTTGGCATAAGATTTTGAGCGTGCAATTAAGTGTTGCTTGGGCTGAATCTGCTAAGTTTTTAAAGGAAAAGCGTTTGGTGAAATCCGTTACTCAAATAGGCGCCCTTTTGGTATGACTTTTGAAGATCATCATCATCATTACCCCAGTGCCGCAAAGGCTCCCCACCTATTGTGTGGTAAGGGGGGTCGGATGTACGTAGTCTTACCCCTATACTAAAGCACAAAAAGATTGTTTCCGGACATTTGAAGAACATATTTCCAAAAAATCAATTTGTTGCGTTTTGATTTTAATTTTTTTAACCATATAAAAGCTAACTATTGTTTTTCTAAGTTGGCGGAATTGGTGTGAAAATATAGTAGGGCTGAAGTTAATGCTTTGGCTTAAATTGATGCTTTAAGTTTTTTATTTTTAACTTAAAAATTATTTTTATACAATTTAATGATCTTTCCATCATTTACAATGGAGCCAAAGACTCACTATTTATTTTGGCTTGGGAATATGATGGAATAAAGCAAAATGGCTCTGTCTGCCCTTCTTTGTTATGAAGCAGCAGTCAGTCCATGCAATTTTCAACGCGATTTTCACTACGGGTCATCCAGAAAAAAGAGTCTCTCTGTGCTTTAGTATAGGGGTTAGACTGCGTTCAACCGATCCCCTTTACCACACCATAGGTGGGAGCCTTTGCAGCACTGAGGTAATGATGATGATGACAATTTTAAATTTTTTAATGATCTTTTAAGGTAAATTAATAGATTCAGCCAATCTCAGCACAACATAAGCACTTCAAGTTTTAACAAATTTTCCAACTTCGTCATGATGAGCCTTACCAATAGGGTTCTGAACTTAAAATTTGAAAAACGTATCTAAATAAACTAAATAAATGTATTGATATGGATTCCTAATCCCTCCGTTATTCCATTCCATTTAGGATTAGGAATAGGAATAAATGTAATGATACTTTCTTTTTAAATATCTCTATTTGTTTTGTAAAGAATCAAAAAATATGTTTGATTGTCCATTTTTTGGATATTTTTTTAAATAGATAAAATATTCTTCTGATAATGAAACATAGAAGCAATTGGATGTATTCTGATCATAATAGTAGAATAAGCACCGAGCCAAGACAATGTTGCGGTGTTTGTTATACTTTCCCCTATCCGCGTTAAAAGTTCCCAATAGTTAGTCGTCTAGGCAATTCCTTTTGTCCTTTTTCTGTTGGCACACCAATACCCTGCCTAGTCAGCTGCCAAGTGCTCTTGAGAGTTGAGAACCGTGTGGCGAGTGTTGACTAGCCTGAAGATGTAAGTTTTAGTTAATTAATTAATTTTGTGGGTTATCATCATCATGCAGCCCTTCAGTGGTGCCAACGGAACGCATGGTTGTTCACAATGTTCATCATCAACACACTCCTCTGATTCCCATCACACCCATGGAAGAAGATGACACAGCAGACACATCAGTTTCACAACATGATGTTTCTGCGGCTGGTCCCAATATGACAAACCTAACCTCACCGTTGATAATGGAGGAGTCTGGAAGTGCTACTGCCTTGTCCCATACAACCACCACCGGATCTTCTGCCTCTTCCTCAGGTGGAGGATTGGAACCTGATGCTCTTGCGGTGGCACAAGCCGCCTTGAGTTGTATAATGGCTAATGACCATGGAAACCTCATTGATCGTGAACTCCTCATCAAGATCCTAAGTGACCCTCAAATTATTGGGGAGTTAGTAAGCCTTCACGGCGGCGATGGAGGGGGCTCTGATCTGAGTAGGAATAATAGTAGTTTACAACTACACATGATCAGACCTTCTAACATGAGGCCACCGGAGATTAGTTTCTCAAATCCAAAACCCTCACCTTCTTCTTTCCCACTCACCACTACTGGTGTTCCTTTCAAACCTCCTTCACCTAGTAGGGTGGGAGCCATACCCAACTCGGCATCAGCAACTTCATCCTCCACTGCCCCTGCGAAGGACCTGAACTACTACAAAAGCCTTATCCAACAACATGGAGGAGAAAGACAGGACACACCACCACCGTTACTGCCGCCAACACCAATCTGCAGCGGCCGTGGAAATCAACTCAGAGATTCTTCTCCGGCTCAAGAACCATTAGTGCCGTCAATAATTAGTTCTCGGTCATCATCAAGAGATTTCAATAAATCAAAGATAATGAAGCCTTGCATTTATTACAACAGTGCAAGGGGGTGCCGCCATGGGATAAAATGTGCTTTTTTGCATAATGCATGCGCCCCACAGCCATCATCCCGGCCGAGGATCGGTAGTTATCGGGACGTGCAAAGTACAAAGAGAATGAAAATGGAGAGGGAGATAACTGGAACGTGATATTTGTTGAGGTGTTACCATTTGATGCATGTTTGTACATTTCTGTCCCTTTTCCGACCTGCAGTGTTGTGGATTGGTGCTGGGCGCTGGCCCTTCCTTTTTATCATAAAATTATTTTTTATTATTTTTTGTTTATTATTAATATGCATTGGTTCTTTTCCTTTTTTACTTTTTGTTCATCCATCAGTGAGCCGATCCCAATTTTTTTTGGGAATAAGGCTTGGATTAGGCATGGACCCGGTTCGGGCCGCCCGGCCCGCCACTGTGCGGGCCCGGAACCGGCCCGGTTCTCGGGTCCGGGTCGGGCCTAGGCCCGGTGGGGGGTCCGGGCTCGGGCCTTGTATTTGGCGAACCGGCCGGGTCGGGCCCGGGCCCGGGCCGAATTGATTTTTTTTTATTTTTTTTTTCATTTGTTGGGGTTAGCCGGGTTGGGCTTGATGTTTAGGAGGGGTTTGGGGGTTTGGGGGGGGTGGGGGGGGTGAGTGGGGGGGGGGGGGTTAGGAAAGCAAAAAAAAAAAAAAAATTATGACCGAACCGGAGGCCCGGCCCGGACCCGGTGGCTACCCGGGCCGGTCCCGGGCCTTCCTTCCCAAAAAAAAAGCCCGGCCGGGCCCGGCCCGGAACCGGCCCGGCCCGGGTCCATGACTAGCTTGGATGTTGTTCATCCATCAGCGAGTACACATCAATGTCTGATTACCTAGCTTCCCGAGCATTTCTTATAGCTAGGTGCTGACCTTGTTTTTATTATTACTATTGAGAAACGTTTAGTTTGGATATTTAATCCTTTTCATGTGCATACTCCGCGTATAGGGGTGGACCGGTTCCGGGCCCGGTTCGGGCCTTGAACCGAGGCCCGGAACCGGCCCGGGTAACCCCGGGTCTGGTTCGGGCCGGGCCAGGCCGGGCCCGGTTCGGTTCTATATAATTTTTTTTTTGGGTTTTCCTAATTAACCCCCTACCCTCCCCCTCAACCCCAAACCACCCCAAACCACCTCAAATGGCCCAAAATACCCAATCCAACCCAAAAACTTAAAAAAATTCAAAAAAAAAAAAAAAATAAATCCGGCCCGGACCGGGCCCAAACCGGCCGGGCCGGTTCACAAAAATGAAGGCCCGAGCCCGGAACCGGTAGCCACCGGGCCGGGTCGACCCGAACCGCCCATGGGCCAAGCCGCCGGGCCGGGCTGGTTCAAACAGTGACCTGGTTCGGGCCGCTCGGCCCAAGTCCAACCCTATCCGCGTATAGAGTAACATAATTTTCGGTAAATTTTTTTCATGTTTTTTCTTTTCAATCCTATATGTGCGAAACACTACCAGTTGAATAATGCTACGACCACTAGTAGAGGTGTAGCTAGTAGGCATGGCCCGGTTCCGGGCCGGTCCAATCCGGGCTTTTATTTTATTGAGAAACGGACTGGAACCGGCCCAGTTTGTGACTGGGTCTGGGCCGGTCTCGGGCTGGTTCATTTTTTTTTTGCCTTTCTAATTAACCCCCGACCCCCACCCCCCAAACCCCTAAAAAAACCTAGCCCAACCCGGGAAAAACAAAAAAAAAATAAAAAAAACAAATAAAAAATTTAAATAGGCCCGAACCTAGGCCCGGTTCCTGGGCCGACCGGAACCGGTCCATGCCTAATTGCCTAGTAGCTAGTGGGCTATACTAGGCCTCTTCCATGAACAAGAGGTGGCGGTGTATGTGAAAAACAGATCTTGCTATTAGTCATGGACTTGGGTCGGTTCGGGCCCGGCAGGGCTTTTTTTGGGAAGGAAGAACCGGAATCAGCCCGGGTGGGCAGCGGTTCTGGGTCGGGCCGGTTCCGGGCCGGGTTGGTTCATGTTAATTTTTTTTCAATTTTTTTTTCTATTTAACCCCCCACCCCCCCCCCCCCCCCCCTTTCACCCCCACCCCCCCCAAAACACTCAGACCAACCCGGGAGAAACAAAAAAAAATTAAAAAAAAAAAAAAAAAAATAGGCCGGGCCAGTTCCGGACCGGTTCCAATTTTAGGAATCCCGAGCCCGCCCCGTTTAACTCCCGGTTCGGTTGGCCCGGACCGGTCCTATCACCGGGTACCGGGCCGGGCCCAAACAGTACCGGTTCTGGGCCGGTTCCGGGCCGGGCGACCCGACCCGAGTCCATGATGTTGCAAGTGAATAATGTAGAGAGAATCTAATCTCACTTCATTTATAATTTTTGGTCTCCTTTGTATACACCCGGTCCCAGATAGCTCATGGCTTCCAGTTTATTTTTTTTATTTAAAACTATTATATTAATACATATAAAAAATTATACACATTAAAAATAAATTCTTATTTTGAAATGAAGAAGATGGAAGATAAATTTAAGAGATAGATGTATTATTAATAAGCTCTAAAGACTTCTTTATATGAAAATTTCTGAGTTGATTTACAAGTGTTCATCAAACCCCTATTTATAGGGATGGAACTTGATGATGAATCACCCTAAGTAGTTCTATATAATTTTGCTCGCACATGTAAATAAAGTCATCTGTCTATCTATGATTACAAGGACTAGATGTAGATGAGTGACCTGATTACAAGGATTATAACTAGGTAGGTGTCCTGTCTACAAGGATGAACAGTTCACACTTGTCAATTTGGCCATTTTACAACACTTCCCCTTGAATGTTCATCCTTGAATAGGTATTTTTTATATTAAAATTTATTATGAAAAATTAAAGTTAAGGAGAAAGGATTACGACTTATAATGTCGTTGTATTTGGATGTACTGTCTCGTTAAAAACCTTATCAGGAAAAACCCAGTTGGATAAAAACCTGATGAAGGAAAAAAGAGTGCAATGCATTCAAATACTCCCCCTGAATTTAGCATAAATTTTGAAGATGACGCATGCTGATTTTCTGTACAAGTTCTACGAACTTCTTTGGGGGTAAAGATTTGGTTCAGAGATCGGCCAAATTTTCATTGGATATGATTTGTTGAATATTGATCTTCCCTTCTTTCTCAAGGTCATGAGTAGAGAAAAACTTTGGTGATATGTGCTTCGTTCGATCTCCTTTGATGTAGCCTTCTTTAATTTGAGCTGTGCACGAGGTGTTGTCTTCATAGATCACAGTAGGGTGACAATTAAGAGGCTTCGTACCACATTCTTTTTGGATGTGTTGAATCATAGATCGCAGCCATACACATTCTCTTCCGATTTCATATAGTGCAATTAATTCAGAATGATTTGATGATGCAGCCGTCAATGTCTGTTTCATAGATCTCCACGAGATTGCGGTGTTACCATAAGTAAATACATACCCGGTTTGTGATTTTGCCTTTTGTGGATCTAATAAATATTCAGCGTCTGCATATCCGATTAAAGTGACCTTTTCATCTTTGTTGTAGAATAAGCCGAGGTCGATTGTACCATGGAGATAACAGAATATGTGCTTAATCTCGTTCCATTGACGCCTTGTTAGACATGAGCTGCACCTAGCTAATAAATTTACAGAAAATGCAATATCTGGTGTAGTATTATTAGCTAAATACATTAAAGCTCCAATAGTACTCAGATATGGTACTTCGGGACAGAGTATTTCATCGTTGTCTTCTTGGAGACGGAATGGATCATCATGTATGTAAGAGATCAAATCACCATTGGTTAAGTCAACAAATGAGCTTTGTCCATATAGAACTGCTTCAAAACTTTCTCGGTGTAATTGGATTGATGGATAAAAATTTCATTCTTCAAACTCTCAATTTGAAGTCCGAGACAAAATTTGGTTCTCCCGAGATCTTTCATTTCTAATTCTTTCATAAGATATTTTGCAGTATTTTCAATTTCATTGGGAGTTCTAATAATGTTTAAGTCATCAACATATACTGCAATTATGGCGAATCCCGAATTTGATCGCCGAATGAAAACACATGGACTAATTAGATCATTCTTAAATCCTTCTTTGAGAAGATATTCACTGAGACGATTATACCACATTCTCCCAGATTGTTTTAGTCCATACAATGACTTTTGTAATTTAATGGAAAACATGTCTCGAGGTTTCGAGCTATAAGCTTCAGGCATTTTGAATCCCCAAGAACTTTCATATAAATGTCTGTATCGAGTGAATCGTATAAATATGCAGTCACTACATCCATTAGGTGCATTTGCAGCCTTTCGAAAACAGACATGCCATTTAGAAACCTTAATGTAGTTGCATCAACTACTGGAAAATAGGTTTCTTCATAATCAACTCCCGGCATTTGAGAAAAACCTCGGGCAACAAGTCAGGATTTATATCTTACAATTTCATTTTTCTCATTGCGTTTACGCACAAATACCAATTTAAAACCCACTGGTTTTACACCTTTTGGCGTAGGGACTATCGGTCCAAAAACATCACGTTTTTCAAGCGATTTTAATTCTGCTTGAATTGCTTCATTCCATTTTGGCCAATTGTGTTGTCTCCGACATTCCTCAATTGATGTTGGCTCATTGTCATTGTTTTCATTCATAACGTTTGTGGCAATAACATAGACAAATATTTCATTAACATCAACATCTTTTCGATTCCATTGTATTCCAGTAGAAACGTAATTCATTGAAATTTCATAATTATCAACATTTCTATCATTATTTGGAATATCTTCATCGTTTAAGGAAGTTGGATCATCGTTTGACATGTCTATTTTGTCAATATCATTTTCTATGCCAGAATTTTTTGTTCATTTTCTTGTTCAGAAGGATGAACATCTATGACATCACAGATCAATTTCTGCCTTATAGTTTTTCTTGGTTTTATATCTTTTGACCCAAGTGGCCTGCCACGCCTTTTGCGTATAGAAGAATCATTTGCAAGAGATTTTTCAGAATTTTCTACTGTGATTTCAATTCTGGCAGGGACATTCATAGCAAAAATATGTGATTTCATCACTTTCTTCGTGTTTGTGAATGCATCAAGCAACTGATTTGCAACATTTTGTAAATGAATTATCGTTTGAACCTCTTGCTCACATATATTTGTTCTTGAGTCAAGACCCTACGAATATAGAGGTGGACCTGATTCATGATCCTGGACCAGTCTAAATCATGAACCGACTGGTTCCCAGATGCAGACCTGTATTACTGGATTACCAGTTGAGTAAGGAGATCAGCCGTGGGGAAGTGATTCACAGGGTGTCAAGGACCGATCTCGGGCTGCCTTTTTGGGGACCAAGACCGGTGGGTATGATCTCACTTCGATCTTTTTTTTTTTTTAAATTTTAATACATTGGAACCATTTCAAAAGGGGTGTAAATCTATTTAAAAGATGGGGGGGGGGGGGGGTCAATAAACTGGGACGGAAACCAAGACTGAAATCAGGATTAAGTCCACCCCTACAATCAAAGAACAATTTTGTTCATCCTCATTTGAAAAGGTTATGTTTACCCCCACCCCTATTTGCCTGCCATGTGGCAAGGCAATATTTCACAATTTGGCAATTGTTTTATCTTTTTCTTTTTTAATCCATTTTTTAAAAAAATATATCAATTTTTTTCTTTTTTTACGATCTTTCATATGGTACTAATATTGAATATAAAAAATTTTAAAAAAAAATCAACCAAAATAGATATTTTAGAAATAAATGTTTTTTTTAAAATTTTTATATATACAAAATTGATATCATTGGAAAGATCATAAAAAACTAAAAAATCTGATATATTTTTTATAAAAAGTAAACTATAAATAAAAAAGTTATAACATTTTAAGGAAAAAAATGAGATGGAATGCCACATGGCAACCATAGAGCAAAGGGTGCACTCCTACAATCAAGTGTCTCATAATCACATTCACTACATTAAAAGCTCCTTGGATTAGGATAGCCCACTTTTTATCAAAATAATTGCTTTTAGGAGTGCCTTTTATTTGAACATGAAACCCCTCTTCCAGTCTTTTCCAAAAAAGAATTACGCAGTATATGTTTACACACTACAAAACTCATTTAGTCATAAGCCACACTCTAAACATACTAACAAGTAACAATATACAACATAACGAAAAGTTGATTACTCATGCATATAGCCATATAGGTAGCAGTATATACATACAAATAAAAAATAATCTGGACATGAACTTCGTTTGAGGTGGTCTAGCTCAAATGAAAGACTGAACTACCGAAGAGGAGGTAACCAAACCAGAGAGAAGGCCCACAATAATTGCACTATTGTATGTTGTGGGCTCCGCTTGCATCGAGTTATTCCTTATATCGATATATGACTCATTTCGAAACGGTCCACCGACAAGGCCTCCAATCGCAACGTTCGGGTTAGGAGTGGTCGACTCAAGCCACTTGAACCCATCTTTGCAGCCAGTTGTTGCGTCGATTGGAATGGAGGCTCCTCTATGGTGAACATATTTTGGGTAGTTGTCTCCATACCCGACAAGGTAGCTCATCTTCATTGGATTCTTGCCCAACACATAATCAGCCTAGATAAAGAAATACATGTTTTTAAGGTTACCTTTAGGTCACCAAGAAACTCTAGGGAAGAAAAATGCACAAGATAATTAAATATGATTTTTTTTATATAAACATGCATATATTTATTATGCTCCGTATTAATCTTTATTTAAATAGCGTAAATAAATAATATTAGGATGTTTTTACTTGGACTGAAACTTGCTGGTCTGGTTTGGTATGTTTAATTCTAGTCTAAACTGATCTGGTAAATGTCTGGTCTCTGTGTATTTTATAAATATGGAAGTCTGGTCTATTTAAGTCTAATCTGGTCTAGTCTGCGTTGTTTAAGTCTGGTCTAGTCCAGTCTGAGACTGAAAAAAGTCCAAGTAAAAACATCTTTATTGTCCACATATATCTTAGGTAAATTTATTGAGGTTAACATATCATTTATATTTCCTCCACACTTTCCCTCATTTTAGTTATAATAATGTATGTTCTTTCCTTCCTATTATCCTTCCCAGTTTCCCTAATATTTTCTGGGATGCAAATGGACCCTAAAAGTCAGAGTAGACTTGAGTGCTTTGGTTATAATTTATGACCGATGCGGTAAGGGACAAGCTGAAAAGTGATTCTAATGGATCAAAATAGCTTTTTGACGAGTAATAGTGATGTTTGGGGTGACATTTCCAGGACCTGTTTGGTAAGGGTTAGTTGGCTGAACGCTCTTGGTTTTCTGAAAGTCAAAAAGCTCAAGCCTAAGCACTAGATGGGTGTGTCAAAAAGCACCAAACAAAAGCACTATATGTATAATAAAACTAGATAAATAAATACACCTGTGACATGGCAAACTTGCGTAAATCGGACGGTGTATAAGATTTCCCGTCACATGTGATCTTTGGAGTGCGTGATGTAAGCATGTAATCACTATAAACAACAGCTAAGAAGGCTGAGGCTACAGGATGCTGCAATGAGTTCCATTCACTTATCCATACTAAGCCAGCTGCACAACAAGTGAAAGGGGGTTAGCAAGACTCTATAAAGGTGAGGGCAATAAGTAAGAGCCTGTGTACATAATAGACAGATAAGGTAGTTACAGTCTGTTCTGCTAGACGTGGCTGTGGGAGATTTCGGTAAAAGGCCACACATAACTGCTTCTGCGGTGCTCCTATACTTGAGCAGAATGTGTGAGTTTGATAACCCCTTTGACCTAAACAAACTTACCCTTGACAACAGAACCTGCAATAAAGAATTACCTGATTAAGAACCAGTGTGCTGTCACCACATTTTCTAGTGATGATGATCATTATTTCCATTTTTATCCCACTACCTTCTATGTTCTTATGTTTTTTGATCTTATATTTATCTTTCTCTTAACCATTTTATCTTACCTTATCTTTTTAATTTTTCTTATCTTTCTTCTGCTTTGATATCATGGATCGATTCATGTTAGCCGACCCCAAAATCTTTTGGGAATAAGGCTTGGATGTTGTTGTTTATCCCACTACCATTAAATTTGATTTCTAATATTTTTTTCTTTTGGTGCGCAAATACTCGGTTCTTGCCTAATTTTGGTCCACACAGTCTTCTTTGTTAATGAGAGGCAATATGCAATTGGAAGATTTCACATTATGTTCAAATTATGCATTTGTAAGGGCACTCCGCCCTATGAAAAACAAGGGCGGCTAATGAACTGATAGACTTTTACCAAATGGTGACAAGTATGAAATACCCATCCACAAAAAAACACGAAAACATATTTATGTTGGGATAAAAAAAGTGAATGTGAAATTGTGACCTAATACTCTAACACGTAAGGAACCAAGTAGGCATGACAATGGTTCGGGGCGGGGCAGGTACTGCAACACCCAGACCCGCCCCGTGACTTGGCGGGGCAGGTCTACCCCGCCCCGTGACCTGCATGGGTCCAAACTTGTTGACCCATGACCCGCCCCATGCGGGGCGGGTCCGCCCCACCCGCCGCGCTGTAACCTAATTAGCTAGTATGTTTTTTTATTTGTGGGAAGTTGTTACCAATTGAATCTACATAAATTTTATCTCTAAATAATAATTAAAAATTAATACTCGTATATTAAATAAAATTCATGATACCCCAAAAATTTCAAAAATTAAGGAAAAATTACTGAGACTTGAATAGTTAGTCTATTTAATTATATTAATAATTGAACATATGTATTATAATGCTATATATAAAGAAGACATTGATAATCTGTCGTTCATATCATTCTAATATATGTATTAATATATTATAAGATCAAATAATTTATGTTTTACTGTATACCACATATGTATGTTGAAGTATATTTGTAGTATAATTAAAAAAAAAGTATGTATGCTTATGTATTGAGCGGGTCGGGTCGGGGCGGCACGGGTCAATACTAATACCCGGACCCGCCCCCTTGTATAGGCGGGGCGGGGCGGACCCGGCCCATTTGGAAGACAGGGCGGGCCGAACCGGCCCCAAATGTTTCGGGCCAAGGCGGGTCAGGTTTGTTTGACATCCCTAGAACCAAGAGAGAAAATAATGCATAAATGCATTGCTATAAAAGCTCCTACTATGGGTCTAACGATTAGTAGGTCATTCTCATCACCAGTCCTTGACTTCCTCTTTTACATTTTTTTATGTGCAGCTGTGAATTTTTTTGAAGGATTTATCTTTCAGGTCCAAAGTTGTTAGTGAGCTCAACTTTTGGGTCTTGAATTCGAACTTCTTTTGTATATCATATTCATTTTATTACTACTTCATCCAAAAGTTTCTCTATCTTGCACAGAAACATAGGAAACATGGGGAATATGCCTACTAGCTTGCAACGTCCAATGGGATGGAGGTAGTACATATTATATGCTTAATAACTCAACAAGTAAAAGACTTGATTGTAGAGCACTACACATTTTTATATGCACAATATTCTAAATTTTTTATTTGGAACATCAATAATTTTAAAAGAACTACGTGGATCAGACGATGATTGTTTAGAAAAATCATAGATATAGAAATATCAAGCTAATGCCTGATATCAAATTACTGTTAGAGAATAGAAATATCAAGTAATGCCTAATATCAAATTACTGTTAGAGAACAACGTCATTAAACTAACGCAGCTTGAGAACACAAGTGTTTTGTGTCACCGGTGTAGTCTTCAAAATGATGTGTATTATTCTCATAACTGAGACATTATAATTACTAAATGAGGAATAGTACTACCTCCGTCCCGGTAAACTTTGCCAAAGTGGAAAATAGGTGTAAAATAAGAATAGTAAAAACTGTGTGGTTCAGATTTGTGCAGAGGAGAGAGAAATGTGCAGAACCACAAATTAGTTGCTTTAATAGGAAAGTGACAAAGTTTTTTGGGACAACCAAAAAGGGAAAGTTGGCATAGTCCAATGGGACGGAGGGAGTATGTTTTAACATCGTTAAACCATGCCTTTATACAATAATAAACTTAATGGTTACACGTGCTATGAACCTTGTAAAAGTATGTGAGTGATCAAGATGGTTTCTATATCAATCTTGTAAAACGGAGCAAGATATTAGGGCCCCTTGTCGGGTAAGATTAGTATTGATTTGAGTACTTGACAATGCACAAACAATATGTCCACTTGTTTAAAGACTAATTTGACTTGGATGTCAAAAAAAGACAATCGACCAAAACAACAAGAATGGCAAAGACCAGTCTTCATTTAGCAAGACACAATGGTTACTATGTGTCCTTCACTAATTGAATAACCATAGTGTCTTGCTAGCCTTCGTGGGGCCGAAATAGGAATTTGGTCTACAACCAAATATTGAATAAGCCCGCAAGGTCATACACCACATCCAATTATTAGTGTGAAATAACACTAATAGGCTAGAAGAAACGAAATAGAAGTTGCGGACTCAATTTTTGGACACAATCTGCAGAAATGATTTTCACCTATCAAAACCACCTTTCTTATCATATTTTAGTACAAGCGAGTCGGAATTACCAAACAGATATATAAGGCACATTGGCACGAAATTGAGAGAGAAATACCGGTAGCATGTAACTACAACTACTCCGCTCATGTGCAAGTAGATACAGTTAGAGGCGACAAAATTTTTCTATGTTGTTCAATCAATAGACTATTAATCCATACTAATTTGTAAATACTTCTTTTATGAGATTTGTATACAATATGAGCATTTGATCTTTAATTCAAATTCTACATTGACAAAATTATTTTTGGCAGAATAATTTCTATATAGCATCAAACATCTTGACCACAAAAGACCCAAAAGTAGCAAGAAGTCTTTAGTCGTACACTAATAGTGGAAAGAACAAAAACCTAGAACCGAAGGCAACTATGGGGCAACTATGAGAGCGAAGGCAGTGCGGCTTGCATTTTGTGCTACTATCTATTGGACTTGGCATGCGAGGAATTCATGCAGATTTGATGATGCAAACAAAACCGAGGTAGAAGTTGTGGCAAAGATTAAACATGTGGTATACAAGATACTTTTTAGTATGTATCCACACGAATTGATTGACTTTTAGCTAAAGTAGAATCAAAGCATTTTTTTGGTGTACCACGGACTAGATTGTATAGACTTGCTTGAATTGTGTGTGCACCTTGCAGCACCAGTGGTATTTTTTTTATTTTTGGGCACCAATGTTTGGCCCATGACCTAGAATAGATGGCAAAACCCTTTCTCCTCTCCTCACCCCCTCTTTATTTATGAAGGGGGGAGGGGATTAGATTTTGGACACATGTATTTGTTACCTTTTTCTTGGGTGTTAATATAATTTACATTTCATCCAAAAAAAACCTAGAACCCAAAGTGGGAATGATGTAATACCGTAATAGTTTAGGACTAGAAACGGAAAACTTTCATGCCAAAAACAATCAACAAATGAAGAAAAAGGATGTACCTGCACTCCGGCCAGTTTGTTATCCCAGCTAAACCAAGTCGGATTTCCCCAACTAGCAAACTCGTCTCCATTTTCACCAGTCACGAAATCATGATATGATTGATCTCCTGTTGCATGATAGAGCCATGTTGCTGCCCATAGCAGTTCATCTCCATATCCCGTTGAGTTATAATATGAGGCAACATTTGGGATGTTTTCACTGTAAGACCCTCTGTGCTTGTCAGCAAAGGTGAACAACTGCTTGGCATGCCTCAGAAGGGTGCTTGAGTATGGAGAGTTGGATGGTTTGAACACGAGGGATGCTGCTGCCATGGCCGCTGCAGTTTCAGCTGCAACTTCTGTTCCAGGTACAGAAGCGTTGATTTGGATCAGAGGCCTTTTCTCAGTCATGTCTTCTGGCCTCTGCCAGCATTTATGGTCTATGTCAGGATCACCCACCTGCCAAACCAATTAAAGTAACAACACTATATGTTAAGAGGCATCGCACGCGTCACACCCACAAAGGTAATCAATACAAAACAATATACTGTTTAAGCCTCGAGATTGATTTGCTCGAATGAGTAACCATCTTATGGGGCAAGTTAGGTCATTTCACATTACAAACATAAATAAAATAAAAATATATATATATATATATATATATATATATATATATATATATATATATAGAAATGCTCAGGTCCAGCAGTTCAGACAGGAGTCGCTGTTTGGGGCGGTTCCTGGTGGAATATTTTGATGAATTTTTTTTGAGCATGTTCCTCATCAAGTCTAGTTTATCTACAATATATTTCAGCTCAAAATTCGATCGGGAAGACAGTCAAATAATTTTTTGAAGTTGACTGTGTTGTATAATTTATTTAGCGCAGTTAACTTCAAAATATTATTTGACTGGCTTCCCGATCGAATTTTGAGCTGAATTTTTGTGTGGAAAAACTAGACTTGATGAGGAACATGCTCAAAAAAATTCATCAAAAAATTCCACTGAGAACTGCCCCAAACGGCGGCGTTAGGACGGCGGATCCTGTCCATCCTGCTGGACACGATCATTCCTCTATTACTCTCTCTCTATATATATATATGTCTATATATATATATATATATATATATATATTTATACGGAGTATATAATAGAATGCTATGAACACAAGAGAGGAATGAACCTGAATGTAAAGGACATTGTCAGAGGGATGAGCACTGACAAGGTAATCAGTAATCCATTTGAGTGAAGCTTTGGCAGGTTTTAACTGGCCCACCACCTCCATCTGATCACCATACTCAAGGATCGTCCATGCCAACACGGTGGCTGTATATGCCATTGGGAATCCGAACTTCATAAGGTCCCCCGCATCATACATTCCTTTACTCAAATCAATCTTTGCTGAACTGCCATCTTTTATCCCCGAATCCCCTCTCCATGCAATTTTGTTGTCTACCAATTTTCCTGCTGCAAGTATTAAGCTTTAAAAGAATAGGCAAGTCCATACACCTCCACATTATGCTCTATTTGGTAGTCCACAGCTTTGGTTTGGCATAACAAGTAACTTTAGAATTACTTATTTGGCTGAAATGGATGTTACCAAACGTTTTCCCTTTCTAAAGAATATAATCAACCATTCCAGCCTAAAGCCCCTCACACTCAACAAACAAGCCTTTGGTTTTAGCAAGTCATAAAGCAGCAATGAGTATTGTCATCAGGAAACTCGTAATGTGTATTGGTTAACAAACAGTATACAGGGTATATAAAATTCTCAAGAATATTTTAGAAAGAACGAAAGAAAAAGTATGGTGGAACACACATTGCTCAAATACATTTCGGGATTATTAGAAAACCACACATTACTCAAGGTCGGTTTTTTGGAAAAAGGAAAGGGAGAAGACAATTAGGGATTGCGTGGTTGAGGTGATGTCACATTGATTACCTAGTCATGTAAGAAGGGTAAGTGTACAGTAATCCTAAATTACCTCTCTAAAGGAGGTAATAAACGAAACACCCTAGCTTAAGACGCAAGCCAAACAAGACCACTCATTACCCTGGATTAGTTTTGCAAAGAAAATTCCGTACCAATCAAGAAGTTATAGTCCTTGAAAGGTAAATCATTAAATTTCTAGTAGCTGTACACATCATTGTCACAGCTAATGCTCAGGAGCAACCCTATCACATAAACCACGCAGCATAATGCATACAAATCCGATCCAGCAACCATTTTCACTGGTTGTGAAAACAAATTAAGGAAAAGTAATCTGGCTCATTAATTATGTACAACACTTAAACAGAAGAAACTTAAATAGAAGAAGAAGAGGGGAGTTTATTTACACTTCTGGACGTCGAAGAACTGCATTGCGATCTGGAGGGCATCCCCGTATCTCTGAGTGACGGCGCCGGGTGGGCCCGGAACAGGGGCAACATCTGAGCCGCCGTGTTTTTTCCTCAGGATCAGGACAACTGCAAGCACAATTGGTGCCGCAACTACCAGAACCACCAGATACCACATCCAACCACATTTCGACTTCGACTCATCCCCACTCATTTCCTCACACCTAAACAGAGCTTATCTGCAATGCCTTGCACCAAAATGACCCCCAAGATCCAGATGCAGAGAGATTTATTTGAAATATAATATACTCTGCATAGATCAAAGATTTTCTATTGTTTCTTGACTGTGACTACTGAAAAAAATGTAAATGTCGGCGGGGTAGAGAGTGGCTACTGGAATGTAAATGTCGGCGGGGAATAGAGTGATCAATCCAAAATCGGACTAATTACTATCATGTTTTGGCAGTACCAGACTTCAAACATGGCAGTATTTTCCAAACTTGGCAGTAATTACTTCTATTTTGGAAATAAAAAACATGTCAGTCCTATTTTAGAATTTTCAAACTGTTTTAGTCCTATTTCGGGAACTTTCCCAAAACAAAACATATGTTCTTCAATTCTTTGGCTATCCCTCAAACTAACTTAAAAAGGGCAATTCACTCCTTATTTAGGAGGTTCTATCCAACCGTCGCCAATTTGTGTGATTCCCGGTGGAATTTTTTGATGAAATTTTTTGAACATCTTCTTTATTAAGTCTAATTTACTCATACCAAATTTCAGTTAAAAATACAATCAGGAAGGTAGTCAAATAAATTTTTGAATATAATTGCACAGTTAAACAGTGCAGTACATTTCAGAAAATCATTTGACTGTCTTCTCGATTGAATTTTTATCTAAAATTTGGTATGAGTAAACTAGACTTAAATAAAAAGATGGTCAAAAAATTTCATCAAAAAGTTACATCGGGAACCGCCCCAATTGGCGACGGCAGGACAGAACCTCCTAAATAAGAGGTGAATTGCACTTTTTAAGTTAATTTGAGAGCCTATTTGACCCTTTAGCCTATTTCCTTTTATTTATATTAACAAATACTCCTAATTATATATTTTGAGTAGAGTAAAAATTATTTATAAAAATATGACTAGTGATTATAATAGTAATTTAGTCATAGTAACTTTAATTCAATTTTTAAATTTAAATGACCGTGACACTATATTGTACTACATCCTTCCCGTTAATATTGTCTCATTTTACCTATTCGGTCCGTCCCACTAAGAATGTTTCATACCAAATTTGATAAATTTTGTTTGGCTCTAAATCATTCTTACGTTATTCTTACTTTATTAAGTCAATATCAATCACATAATCCATTTTTTATTGGTTTGCGCGACACTTCCGCTTGTCCCATTGTTATGATGTTTTTACTTAGACTGTAATTTGTCTCAAACTAGTCCAGATCAGATCAGACCAGACTTGGGTAGTTATAAAAATACAAAGAAACCAGACCAGACCAGTTTAGACCAGACCAGTTTATACATCTTGTTGGTATGAGTAGTATTATTAATCCGTTTAAATTAATCTCAAGTGTTACAATCACCCCCACTTAGGATCGCAACGTCCTCGTTGCGCCCATAAACCAATCTCAAATCTCAATCAAATCCCAGAATCCTCCCTCGCTAAGTGCCCGTCCGATATCCAACGGGTCAGCGCACTGTCGCAGGGTTGCTCTGATACCACCTGTAACATCGCGGCCCCGCAGGACCCGAGGTAGTTACTCCAGACTTCTAGTACTGTCCTCACAAACCACCACAAGTTTTTACCGTGCACTTTTGTCTTCATTCATGCGCGCCCTGAGAAACTTCCCAGGGGGTCACTCATCCCAATACTACTCCCGTGCAAGCACACTTAACTTTGGAGTTCTTAGGTGATGAGCTCCCTTAAAAGGAGATGCATCTTGTTGGTATGAGTAGTACTATTAATCCGTTTAAATTAATCTCAAGTGTTACAATATTTGTGTAAATAAGTTTTATTTTAGTAATATTTTTCAAAAATCCTTTAAACCAGACTAGATCAGACCAGATCAGACCAGCAAACTTTTTTTTTTGAGAATTTTATACTCCCTCTGTCCCAAAAAGGTTGGCCAAAGTTGACTTTCACGTGGATTAATAAAGTAAAAACTGTGTGGATGAAATTTGTGCAGAGGAGAGAAAATTAACTTTAGCCATATATTCTTTACTTTAAATGGAAATGACAAATCTTTTTGGGACATCCAAAAAAGAAAATTTGGCCAACCTTTTCGGGACGGAGGGAGTATTAGACGCTTAAATTCTAAAACTTGAAAGTAGGTGGAGTAACATTTTTAAATGATTTTCACTTTTACAGAAAAGGTCAAATAAGACCTTCTACTATTACAGAATCGTCACATAAGGTCATGTACTCAATAAAGTGTCATATAAATACGTGTGCTTATAAAAAGCAATTGGATGAGTCAAAAAGACCCGTTGTGAGCCACGTAATTATAATTCTGACTTTAGCGTACGTCTGGCTATCTTTTTGAAATAGATTATAAAGTCGTTGTGAAATATTTGGTCACGATTGGCTTAAATACAAGGCAAAAACAACGACATAGAAGCTAAAATCGGGATTACGAGGTTGTCAACGGGTCATTTTGACTCATCTGATTGCTTTTCATAAGTAAACGAATTTATATAACATTGTATTGAGTACATGACCTTATGTGACGATTCCGTAATAGTAGAAGACCTTATTTGATCATTTTCTCTTCACTTTTTTATTTAACAAAAAAAAAAAAATCCTTACTAAACACAATTAACTTCTACTTTAAAAAAGTACTATTTTCTCAAACACTGCCAATGTTGATCCAACAATGGTCGCACATAAGCCTCTTTGGAATGTTACGACTTAATACTCAAGTTGAAAGCAAAAATACCAAAATGGAAAGTTATTAAAGAACTTAATTGTCAGAAATAGTGTGTCATTGTTATAGAACTTTTTTTAAAGGAAAAGTCATATATTAATGAACCAATAAATCATTTGTCAAATGGCTTACAATATAATCTGGCGAAATTGTAAAAGAATCATCACAGTTTGACGTTAAAACAGCCGCACTTGCTAATGCATGAACCGCCCGATTTGCAGACCGTGTACGCCAAATAATACTCTAATCTGTATTTTCCCCGAGCAAGAATTTGATATCCTCCCGCACTGTCCCTATACATGAGTTTCCAGGATCCCCTTGAATTCTTGCCATAAGCATGCTAACATCCGTCTCTATCACCACCTTACTCCATCCAATATCTTTTGCCCACCTTAAAGCTTCCCGAACTCCCAAGGCTTCAGTTTCAAACAGAGTCTTATTAACCTCAAAAGACTGGCCTTGTGCTAGTACAAACTACCTGTCGTGATCTCTTGCTATCCACCCCCACGCATGCTGACCACACTTTTCTTCCACAACCGCGTCAACGTTGACTTTTAGCCAACCCTCCTCGGGTTTCTTCCACAAATCCTCACAACGACGAACTGCTGCCCACTGCAATTTAATACTTGAATGCTGAGATGCTCACCATCCATCCAACACTGCTCATGATGTCCGCTTAACCCCCACTGGTCAGAAGAAAGTTTCTTTCTTACAAACTACACCATTTCTTTGCTTCCAAATGTTCCAAAAGATCATAATAAACATGTAGCACTCTTCATTTGACAGCAACTTGCAAACTTCTACTAGCCATCCCTCCAAAGTGTTGTAAGTTCGTCATCGAAAAACCTGCAAAACCAACGTTAGAAAATAAAAAGGCTCGAGACGCGTGCAAGACGCTGTCCTCAAGAAAGTATTTCCGATAGTCGGAAATCTCTCCCTAGGATATAACGAGCCCTTCGGTAAGTAACCGGACACCGAACTACGAGGATAAAGAAAATATATTATATAACCCAACAGATGTAATCTATCAGTAGGTAACAAGAAAAATTTTGGGGACAAGTAATTTTAAGCAAGTCACTCGCAGCAGCTACTTTGTATGCAAGGCTTCAATTTTCTAATAATAAATGATAAATGGGAGTAAGGTGATTTTAGGTATAAAAAATGTGTTGGTGTAACAATGTGTTTTAATGAGTTGTACACTAAAGTCAGTCAATTGTACCTGGTTTCTATTAACCATCTATCGTCGTCGTCTTCCGTGTGGATGCAATTAACGACAACATCACACCGGCAGTTATACCAGAGGACGGGACACGGGTCTGTTTCTCTTCAAACCCCAGCCCATGAGCCCATTCATTCAAGCAATCAAGCAGGTCGACACCAGAATGGAATACACCTTCGTCAGAGTATGCAGGCGGCTATGGTGGCGCTTATGCCGCGAGGACTTCATCTGCAATAACATACTCCAAGATAATTGTCCAGTAATGTTATATTTTAGTCATTTATTTATTCATCTACATATTGATTTCTAGGTTTTCTTGATTAAAATGTAAACAACTAGGAATCAAATAAATAGTTTATGAAGATTGATTTTAGTCGGGGGGGGGGGGGGGGGGGGGGGATTGCGAGAGAAGATGGTTTGGTGAGGCAGAAGTGGTTATATCATTGGTCAAAATGGCATAGGTTTGAAGTGTTTATTTCATGTTATCTGGTGAAATTGATCTGAAAATTTGCATTACTGCTTGCAATCATTCGGAATTATGGGTGCTTTCATAATTTTTTTGTTTCCTCGATTTTTTCTATTTGATGGAATTTTACTTGGTGTGGCCATGTATAGCTTATGAAATTTTAATGCTTGATATCCAAAGCATGAGAGGAGTTCTATTTTGAGCAAGAATATAGTTCATTAATTAGCATTTATTCTATGAGATTCTTCCTAAAATAATAACTCCTAAAGTCTATAAATACTTCTTGTAAACACCCTACCAAGTGATCAGATACATGATTGGTCTTCGGAATAAGAGTATACTGCCTTACGCTGCCATATTCTTTCATACTTTTCATACGTTTCTCATACCTTTTGGTAGATTTAGCTCTCGTAGTTGGATTAAACTCCATCATTTGGTGCTCTCTTTGAGAGAAGAATCTACGAGAAACGATGGTTGGATCAAGTCACAACTGTGCTGGTAGCAATCAAGGCGGGGATCGCTATAACCGGGTTGTGATCGAGGACGAAGGTTCAAGGTCACGACGCAGCGATTTCTGAAGGCGTAATGACAACATCGCCGCGCAGGGTGATTTGAGAAACCAAATCCAAGGCATGAGGAATTCTAGGCGCACGGCGGCATGGCCACCGCAATTCCAAACCCCAGGCACTGGACATAACACCCCCAACGTGGATTCGGCGCAGGCATTGGCAAGTTTAGCTACGTTTCTAAGGGCGGTGGAAACTTTGATGACTGTGTTCCAAGGTATC